ATGCTTGCTTTGGGGGGGGTGTCATGCCCGACGAAGCGAGTGCTCGCTCTGAGGCAGCCTGCTGCATTCTTGCCTCACTGGAGTCAGCACCAGCCTTCTGGACGTGGCTCTGCATCAGCAACTATCCCAAGAACGAGTCTCAAAGTCATTCCGGGAGGTCACCCAGTGAGAGAGCGGAACGAGCTCCTTGCCCCGCGGGGCCTGGCTCAAGTCCCGAATCGATGCAAAGGAGGAGTTGATGAAGTTGTTGAAGATCACCCAGCTAAAGACTGGCGCGTGATAAAGGGGATGGTCCTCCAAAAAGAGACTGTTCTGAGTTAAAACAGGGACCGGAACTTCCAGAAGCTGAGCAGGAAGGAACCACAGTACAGCCACACGTACAAATGAGATGAGCTATTATACGTGTCTAATGTCCAAAACCTGCACTACGGACTAGCAGAAGGTGGTTTTTGCTGGATTGTCATGTCAGTCCAGTAACACCTGAGGGACCAACAAAATTTTCCAGGGTGTAAGTTTGCATAAATTGAAGCTCACCAGCTATATAAGTGAAAACAAAGGTGGAACGGGTGTTACCAAGAAGGATCAGTTGGACCCTCACCTCTAGGCATAACTCCTTGCTCTAAATCAAGCTGATTACCTGCAGTGTACACCTCAACCTCCAACTTCCCCTTCTTGGTAACACCCCTCCCACTTTCTGACCCGGGTAAAAGGGCTGCTGGATCTTCATTCTTATTTGGACTTACAGGAGGATCCAAGGCAGCTACTGGATTCTCCAGAGACTCTTGTCTGTCCAAGAGAGGCACCCATAAACAGGACGAAGGACATACAAAACACCCCATCTCATGATGGATTACATGCTACTCTACGCTGGCTCTGCTCACAGACCAACAGATGTCTTCTATTATTTGAGAAAGAGTGGGAGATACCTCTGCTTTGGGGGCAGCTGCCACTATTACTGCATTTTTAAAGTCTGAAAATGCTAAAGCAACCTAGAAAAAGCAACGCTGGTTTTACTGCCTCTCACTTCCAACTCAGAAAACACTATTTCAGATGTCAGGCAAACTCTAGATGAAGGGTCCTCCAACCTTTTGGAGCCTGCGGGCACATCTGGAATTCTGACGTGGCATGGTGGGCGCAGCAACAAAGTGGCTGCCACAAAGTGGCTGCCGCAGGCGTCAAAGCTGGCCACAAAACAGTTGCAACAACTGAGTTTCAGTAACACAGTGTAGATACTTGTGTTGTGGTTTCAAAAAAATCTGCACAGCCAATCAAATCTCCAGTAGTCAAATCAGAAGCCTTGCTGGGCGAAAGCCCTATCTGGCCCCACCCGCTTCCTCAAAACACCTGGCGGGGACCAGAAAAGCCGCTCTAGATTGGGCCACCTTGCCTTCCAAGGCTTCCTGAGCAGGCGGGGTATGTGATTTACAGCTTCTTCTGGAAACCACTTCTACCCAGTCAGCTTCTTGCCTTTGTCGGCGCTGCTGAATTCTCAGGAGCCGGTGCAGCAGAGACTCCAGGTTGCACACTCAGTCACTGTGACAGGCGCCATTAGATAGTTCTGCACCGCTTAACAGCCTTAAGTGGATTGGCACTCAGAAGGAAAGCCCTTTATGTCTTGTACATCTCTGGAATGCAACATCCAAGGCTTTTTGTGCACAGTGCTTTTTTCTGTTCTTTTGAAATGAGCAGGGAAGGAAGGAATATACCATAGCTCACGTCAGTGAGAACTTAGCCAAGACCTGTCTTTAAGAGGTTACTAGCTTTCTTTCCCCATGGCTTTTGTCAGCTATGTTGTCCCAGCAAACTCTTCCAGACAATTAATACACTTAAGAGGGAAGAAAACTAGTGTTGTTGGGAGGAGGCTCATATTCATCCTACCACTGAGGAGCTTACCGAATCCTAACACAAGGAAAACAGCCAGGAAGAAAAAGACTAGGCACTTTGCCTTTTAATCTTCCTGATGCATCTGAAAAGGGGTAACTTAATGAATGGAACACTGGCCATACTACAATACAACCCCAAAGCCGTTCTCTACAGTTAAGTGACTTGAAAAGTCCTTTCTGTTATCAAATTCTTTGCACTTTGCACTTTGGAACTGGTTCAGGCTTGTAAGGAAAGCTGGTGCGTTCCAGTAAAGAGCCTTGACCAGCACTATATAGCAGTATGATCAAGTTCAGAATACTTCCACTTTGTTACACCTTTCCTTTAGAAAAGTAGCTTCTGCTATATGGAAGAGTCCAAGCAGATAGAAACACATACACACAGTCTGAGAGAATATAAAGACACTACGCTGGGTACCCTTGTTCTAATAAACCATAAACAGGGATTCTCTGAATTTTGCAATTGCAGCCATTCTGGCAGATATCTGGTGGGCCATTCCTGTAACTTCAGAAAGTTAACCACCAATCCAGGTACTACTGAGATGGCACTGAGAGAATATAAAGACACTACGCTGGGTACCCTTGTTCTAATAAACCATAAACAGGGATTCTCTGAATTTTGCAATTGCAGCCATTCTGGCAGATATCTGGTGGGCCATTCCTGTAACTTCAGAAAGTTAACCACCAATCCAGGTACTACTGAGATGGCACCAAGAAGACAGACCATCACTTGCCCCAGAGCCCCTATCTATACCTTGTGACTAATAGTCACTGATGGACCTCTGCTCCATATGCTTATCTAATTCCCCTTTGAAGCCATCCATGCTTGTAGCCGCCACCACTTCCTGTGGCAGTGAATTCCATGTGTTAATCACTCTTTGGGTGAAGAAGTACTTCCTTTTATCCGCTCAGCAATTTCATTGAGTGCCCACGAGTTCTTGTATTGTGAGAAAGGGAGAAAAGTACCTCTTTCTCTACCTGCTCTATCCCATGCATAATCTTATAAACCTTAATCATGTCTCCCCTCAGTCGTCGTTTCTCCAAGCTAAAGAGCCCTAAGCACTTTAACCTTTCCTCATAGGGAAAGTGTTCCAACCCTTTTATCATTCGAGTTGCCCTTTTCTGCACTTTTTCCAAAGCTATAATATCCTTTTTAAGGTGTGGTGACCAGAACTGCACACAGTATTCCAAATGAGGTCGCACCATTGATTTATATAATTTATTTTATTTATTTATTATGGGATTTGTATCCCGCCCTACCCATATAAGGGCATTATGATATGGCTGATCTGTTTTCAATACCCTTCCTAATAATCCCCAGCATAGCATTGGCCTTCTTTATTGCAGTCACACACTGTCTCGACATTTTCAGTGAGTTATCCACTACAACTCCAAGATCTCTCTCTTGATCTGTCTCTGCCAGTTCAGACCCCATCAACGTGTATTTATAGTTAGGATTTTTGGCTCCAATGTGCATCACCTTGCACTTGGCCACATTGAACCCCATTTGCCATGTTGACGCCCACTCGCCCATCCTTGACAGATCCCCTTGGAGTGCCTCACAATCCTCACTGGTTTTCACCACCCTGAACAACTTTGTATCATCCGCAAATTTAGCCACTTCACTGCTTACTCCCATCTCCAAATCATTAATGAACAAGTTAAAAAGCAGTGGACCAAGTACTGATCCCTGCGGTACCCCACTGCTTACCCCCCTCCACTGAGAAAATTGCCCACCTACACTCACTCTCTGTTTTCTATGAACTAGCCAGTTTTTGATCCATAAAAGGACTTGTCCTTCTATCCCATGATTTTTGAGCTTACTTAGGAGCCTTTGATGAGGAACTTTATCAAAAGCTTTCTGGAAGTCAAGGTAAATAATATCTATTGGATCCCCCTTGTCCACATGTTTGTTCACCCCCTCAAAGAACACTAACAGGTTAGTGAGACAAGATCTTCCCTTACAGAAACCGTGCTGAGTCTGCCTCAATAGGTTTTGTTCATCTATGTGCCTACTAATTCTTTCCTTAATAATGGTTTCCACCAATTTACCCGGTATCGACGTCAGACTGACTGGCCTGTAATTTCCCGGATCTCCTCTGGAACCCTTTTTAAAGATGGGAGTGACAGTTGGTCTTGACATTTTTCGCTATATGCTCCTCATATTCCCTTCTTGCCTGCCTGACCACAGACTTGCATTTTATTTGCCATAGCCTGTGTTCCGTTTTATCAACCTCACTGAGACTAGCTTTCCACTGCTTAAAGGAATCCTTTTTACCTTTTACAGCTTCCATTACTTTGTTTGTTAGCCATGCAGGCTTTTTCCTATACCTATTTGTGCCTTTCCTAACCTGCGGAATATATATTTTTTTTGAGCTTCTAGGATCATAGTTTGAAATAGTTTCCAAGCTTCCCCAATGGTTTTTACCCTTTCTATTTTTCCTTTCAGTTTCCTCCCCACATGTCCCCTCATATCAGAGAAGTTACCCCTTTTAAAGTTAAAAGTGGCTGTGTCGGTCTTTTTGGCCAATTCCCTATTTATACAAATGTTGAACTCAACAACATTATGCTCACTGTTCCCAAGCCCTCTACCTCTTAAGAGGAGAGTGATGTTTTCAGACGGAATCAGTTTCTGTAATTCTTTATTGTGCAGTATGTTCAGAACTCAGGAAGGTCTATGTGAACCTGTAGCAGAATTCCTAGAGGTCTGCCCAACTCAACAGCGGCCCCTCATTTTAACAAATATGGAGAGCAGATAGAAAAATAGTTACACTGACCCAAGTATTTTCACCCTAGTGTAGCCAGCACCGAGACCACACACAAAAAAATACTCTACCAAAATCAGTCTTGTCTTTATGCTGTACCATCGTCTTTCACAGAACAATTAATCATGATCAAAACCAGAGGCAGCCACTATGGCTAGTTTTTTACATCAAGGAACAAGAATGTCTTTATATGGACAGACAGGCAGGTGAAGGTGAGGCTATGGAACTAAAAGCAAAAGCTAGCAGAAACACACAGAAAAGGTGGGGGCACGATGAAAGGCATTTGAGGAGACATCAGCTTAGAACCAACCTTTTTTCATTGGATGGTACAAATCCGGCTGAGAATCTATAGCAGAAAGGGGAAAAAAACAAAAACAAAAAATAGCAGAGAAAGGAGATTAAGAGGAGAGAAAAGAAAAGGCTTGGATCCTGGGCTACATTCAGATTACAGATCAACAAATTCAGTCTTTTCTCTTCACCCCAAGTACTGAACACAGAAACGGCAGGTGCAACAAAAGATAATTCTGGTAAGCCTGTGACCATGGGAGTGGGGGCGGGTTTGTGTGTGTCTGTGTGACAAGACCGAGGCCTTGTATCTTGGAGAACTAAACCACAGCCAAGCCAAAAAGGGCCCCTTGCAGACAGAGGAAAGAGTAGCAAAAGTCTCAAGTGGCCATGCACACGGGATGCTAAAAGCTTCAGTTCACATCCACAGAGTTCCTGACTGTGAAAGTAACGTCTCAGTGTGACACGCTGTTTAATAAAACTAGCAGTTCAGGAGCAGGCTGCCTACTTGCTTAGATCTCAGTGAGACACGCTGTTTAACAAAACGAGTTCAGGAGCAGGCTGCCTACTTGCTTAGACACCATGACCTTCTTGTAAAGCAACTCTAATGGAAGACAAGGATATCACCCTAGCTGACTTCCTTAGCTCTCGCGATCTACATTTACAGGTCCTCTGTTCTCCGTACCTTCACTTTCAGATGAGGCTGGGAAGGTTTTCACCTGGAACGGACGGAACGGCTTGCCGTCAAAGAGGGGAGACTCTTCGCTTTCTTCGGAACTCACCCGGACATCCACGGGGGACTCCGAGATGGAGGAAGTAAAGTGATCCATGTCATCCCGCTGCTGTTGAAGCAGCTCATCTGTGAGAGAAGGACAATGTTAGGGTTGGAAGGAAATTCCTGGGTGGGCCGGACTGTGACCTCAGCAGCCTGTGGAGTCCAACAGAATACCTCCAATGCAGGAAAACATTTCCCAGAAAACCTCACCCAAACTTCTTGTATATAGGGTTTATGTTTTCACGTATTTTGCTCTTACAAAAATGCACCTTACACAAATTTCACAAGCGTACACTCGTTTTACATTCACGCCCCATTGTCTTCGTTGAACTCAGAAGCCCCAAATGCTTTCAATAAATCACTTCAGGGGACTGTAGACAAAGATACTAACCTATCTCACTTTGGATTTCTTCAGCCACATAAGGTACCTTGTAGAGAAGAGACAGACTTTGATTCATCCTTTCTTCAATCACATGGAGATGCGTCATCACCTACCAACAGAGAGGACAGAGTTCAGGCAGTCAGCTTCTGTTCTATTTTTAATGAAAACAAATAAACCTGCTGCAGAGATAAAGGTGCTTAGAACTCTTCCGACGTTGTTTGCATAAAAATATAATAAGCCTCATAAAGCCAACCTTTAGAAGAGTTAGTGGTAGGAATATAATTGTTTTACCAGATCAGGCCAAATTCCATTTGTCCCAACAATAGTGGCCACCCAAATGCATCTGGAAGTTCACAAAGAAAGCCAGAAAAAGAAAGAGGGGGGAAGCACGTCCTGTATGCCAAAAAATATATTGCTTTTATACAGAGATTCCACTTAAGCTGAGCTGGCTAATGGCCATAAATCATGGTACATGTTTAATCCTTTTAAAAACTATCCAAACTTGGACATCACCACACCTTGCAGTAGAACACAGCATACATTAACTATGAGCTGTACGAACACTTTTGTCTGCATGTCTATGGAATGGCCAGGTTTAGGAAACCACCATTAATACTGATTTTTGGGAAGCCTTTTAGGAAGATGGTCAAATTTTAGAGGGGCTATTGCTGAAGATGCTGAGTGCTCAGTATTTTCCTGACTTTCTGGCTTTGTAAGACTTGTTTGACATATTTCTGATATATGGTTTTATATACTCTTGTTTTTGGGTACGTATACCTACTAGCATGTCGCTAGCCACCTTGCATCCTTAGAGAGAGGACCAATGAGGAGTTAATACTTTTGTTTGCCCCAAATCTACTTCAAATCAACTTTATTCAGTAAATTCCAATTTTAAAACACAGGTAATTTCACTTAGCCCAGACTGAAGTTTTATTTAATTATATGTTTCTTGTTTTTTTTTTTAAAAAAAGTGGCGAATGAAAGGACAGACACTAATGAAAACTGCAGCAAGCTCTCCAAATGCACTGAGATTGGCAGGCTCTTTGTATCCTTCTGACAGTATCATCATACACTGAAGTTCTGCAGAGAGAGGATATTAAAGTCAATAAGGCCCACTTCCCCACCAACATAAGATGCAACCCAAGATTTTCAGGTGCTTCTCCAGTTTTGTTGTTCTTAAAGAGAACAGATTTGTTCCAAAGAGAAAAAAAGCTTCAACATTCCCAACGGTATATAGATAAGGATTTTGTTCATGCCTCAATTACAAATGGCTGATCTGCATATTTTTCAAGAGAGGAGATTTGTGTCGAAACCAGAAACAGGGGAAGAAGGACAGCAATGTCTTCTTGCCAGCTGAATGAGACTGGGGCTAACCTTATCTGCTGTTCCTCCTGCTTCAGGTTCTTAGCCTGGGTGCAGCCAAAGGCCCAAGGCCTCCAGGGCCCAGGGCTTCTCATCTGTGGTCCCGAAAGAGCCGGAACAGCAGGTCTGGGACTAGCCTTGGATGTAGATTTGCTGGTATTTTTTGCATTTTGTAAACTGCTCTGGATCCCTGCTGCGAACAAAGGCAGGATAAAAGAAAAATAATCATATGTGGAGAACAAAGTCGGTCTTTGTTCAAAGAGAGCTTGCCTGGACTTAAAAAGCTGGATGTGGTTTCCTGTTTTGGTGGTTTTCCGCAAGTCATTTCCTAAAATTTATGGCAACTATGCAGCTGACCTGCAGAGGGTGCTGCGCATTAAGATATTTTACAGACCTCCTTGATAAGGAATGCGTTAATATGGATCTCCAAAACTGGGAGAAGACTAATGAACTGCAAAGACCTAGTTTTACAGACTGAAGCGATCCGACTTTTTAAAAGGGAAGGATGAAAGCAATTTAATTTTCTGTGTTGCAGCCTGTCAATCAAGTGGATCAATTCAAGAGCTTGAAGTGCACTCAAAAAGCAAAGGCGAACAGGATTGAATGCCATCACCAACGTTCCTTGCATGTCAACTGGTTAACGCTGCCTCCTGCACAAGGAATTAAGGGGACCTTGATGATTTTGGTCTAAGCATCCCGTTTGCACACTCATTCCAGTCTTTGGGAGAGGGATCCGAAAGGGAATGTGCTTTATAAATGGCGTCGAGACGGATGAAAGAAGACAGCACTGGATACCCTTAGAAGACAGAGTAAAAACTTTTGGGCTGAAGTCAAATACTGTGTGAATTCCAAGAGTCAAGGAACAGGGAACCATTTGCTACCCACGAGACTGAAGGAATTCAGAATAAACTTTGCCAGCATTAAAATTCACTGAAGTAGATACAGTGAAGCAAGGCAGAGATCACAGCACGCAGGGCTAATCTAAACTACAAAGGAAGCATTTTCAGTGCGGCTCTGCAAAATTGAGTTCGTGCTCCAGTTCTGCTTCTAAAAGCAGACAATGCAAATTACTGAACTCGACACAAAACAGCTACTTATTACCTTTGGCAGGGCTTTTCTTTGGAAGAGTGTCTCTTGGCAGGGGAGAGAGGAACGGATGCCGGAGTGTCTAGCAAAACAGTGCCTAGTCACAGTTTCGCTGGCGACCTTGGCAAGGGCTTTCTATGTACCCCATTATTCCTTCCCACCCCTTGACAGTCACGGATGCGACAAATCTGGTCGGGAAAACAAGCCTCAAAAAAAGGCAACGGACAGCTGCATAAAAAGGTCTATCAGTGGGTTATGTTGGGGGGGGCTGGGAGATAAACAAATCCCTCTGCTGGAAAAAAACACACACTCCAGGTCAAAGGCAGAAATATTTGCTCCTAAGCACTGACTTTTCAGGTAAGTGAAAAGGTGCCAGTATACCCTAACCTCCATACTCACATGAACACACAAAGCTGCCTTATACTGAATCAAGATAAACAAATCCCTCTGCTGGAAAAAAACACACACTCCAGGTCAAAGGCAGAAATATTTGCTCCTAAGCACTGACTTTTCAGGTAAGTGAAAAGGTGCCAGTATACCCTAACCTCCATACTCACATGAACACACAAAGCTGCCTTATACTGAATCAGACTTCCAGTCCTCCAAGGTCAGTATTGTCTGCTCAGTCAGGGGCTCTCCGGGGTCTCAGGCTAAGGTCTTTTGCATCACCTACTGCCTGGTCCTTTTCACTGGCGATGCCAGGGACTGAACCTGGGACTTTCTGTGTGCGGCCTCTAATCTGGGAGAACCGGGTTTGATTCCCCACTCCTCCACTTGCACCTGCTGGATGGCCTTGGGCAAG